ACGTGTTGTAACTTCTGTTTACGCAGCGATAGTTAACCAAACATTATCTGATGAATTTTAATAATTAATATCGTGAGACATACTAAATTATCTAAAAATCGCGCGTTACTCACGTGAGTAAACTGAGAAGAGCTCTACTAGTTTCGAACCACAGAGGACTTCTTCGGCTCGACCGGAGTGATACCATGGCCCACAGAAAACCGACGTGAAACAACGCTTGCGTTGTGTTTCGTCATGTGAGTGAGGTTACCCAATTACCCCTAGTCTCCGCAATCCCCGAAGCCCCCACAATTCTCAAATTCCCAATTCCCAAAAGGCCGGTAACGCACTTGTAACGCTTCTGGTGCTTCAAGTATCCATTGGCGGCGCCGATTGCTTACCATCGGGTGATCCGTGTACTAGTTTACCGGCTTGTCCCATAAAAAAATCTTCTTTAACATTCCAGTTGAGGTCAATCTCAACACAACAGCAACAACTGCTATTCCCAAGCAAAAATAGACACGAAGAAGATTATAAACACATTCTTATTGTTCTTATAACATTACTTAGAACAATTTCTACACACGAGGAAGTTTTCTTCCAACTCTGCGGTTGTATTTTTGATCGCAAACCTGACGTAAGTGTATCAGTCATCTATCGTTATTCAACTACCCATCTATTTAATACTAAATAAATCGATATCGACATCTACCTGTCCTTTTCTTAACTATGAGTGATGAATGAGAGGTTCTATTTATGTTGATTTGGTGTTGTTGGCAAGGAATGGTAATATTATGTCTAAGAACATCAGCGGCTAACTGTTGCATGCAGTCTTGATAACTGTTCGTCGTAGTTGAATGTAATGAGATTATTTGCTTACTGATGTACAGCTATGATATAACTCGCCTATTTGTAGTAATGGCCAGTACGTTTCTTTTGTTTCTATAAACAAGGAGAAGATGGGCAAATTATTTACCTAGGGCTTTTTAATTTTCGTGTGATTGCAATTCTCAGGTTGGATTCCTGAGTCGGGCAAAGTGTTACTGGGTTTTTAAGAAATTCGCAGGAGTTTAGAATTGTGCCCGGTTTATGGCAATGACCTCACCCCTTATTACGTTGGAGACATAACATAAATAGTGAAAAGTGGGTGTTACATTATACAGTGACTTTGAGTGCCGTAATGTGCATCTCTGCTTACCCTTTCGGGGATAAAAAGCGTGATGTTATGTTACTTTTTAATTTTATGAAGAAGGCAAGTAAGGCTGGTCATGATTTTTTTTTTTTTTAAATAATTGTTTTTGTTATGTAAGAAAATCCAGTTGCATTAAAAATAAAACGTTTTTTATAAGCTATTAATTTTAATCTGTTAATTAGTCGAAAAGTTAAGGATTATTCCTTATCAAAATATCAATCGCTGCATCGAGAGTCCAATTTAACTTGATTTTTTCATTAAATAAAGCTTACCGAGTTTTATTACTCTATTAGGTCCTTTAGCTCATTTTTTAATATATTTATGATAAAAAAATAGTTATTGTATTTAAATGTGTACTGTTATCCCCGGCGTACATTGTACCCACCACCTTAGGTAGTCCACATATAAAACTACCGTGAAGTTTCACTCACCGCATTCGATACTCAGCCAGTGAAACAAGTGCATCATTCGATTTTTTTTTGTTTTAAATCGATTACGAATCGAGTGATCGTGTGCTGGTGCCTTAATTAGAAGCTTTGGTGTTTATAACAAATAATCGAAAATGGCCTTTAAGGTGAGATGAACTTGTTTATTTTTTAATTACTTTAAGGAAGTTAAGTTTGCAATTGAGATTTTTTAAGAAGATGGTTAGCGAATAGTATTAGAATTTTGATCTATACACAGACAAATAAAATTGAAGTGTCTGTTTGTAATATTAAAGTAACTACTTCTTACTACATGCATATGAATATACATACGATACATATACCAAAATATTTATTTTTACAATTTTTATCTGCCTGTCTGTTTATACTGGCTAATCTTTGGATTGGCTGGACCGATTTTGCAAGACTCTTATTGGTGAGCTGATGTACTAAAGAGTAATTCTATTTTGGAAAATTGAAACAAAAAAAGTTAATTGTATTGTAACTTTCGTGAGACATACTAAACAAATTATTATGTTTTCGGCTTACTCATGTAATAATTTGACGAGGAACTCGACTAGTTTCAAGCCATGCTAGAGGCTCATAGGATACTCGAATTTAAATGCTGCTCATGAATTATTTAAATTAATTTAATTAAAAAAAGTTATGTTCTAAAATTCGTATTCTACGCGGACAAAATCACGGATAACAGCTAGTGTTTGTAATATTTCAAATCGAAGATTATCAATCTTTGTGAGCAATGCCGCCAAAGTCCACTACTAGATGAAAGCCTCTTCTTATTAACCGATGATAATGATGATGGTTGGGTAGGTGTATACTGTATGTATTTGTATTTGCTTGAAAGCTTTATTTTAAAATTCCATATCGTTCTTTGGAATTTACTTACAAAATCTTTACTAAACTAGAACATACTAAAATTTGAAAAAAATTCAGATAGCTTGAATCCCCTTATATGTAGAACGATATGTAGCTCACAAACAATTTGGTCGTAGGTACACTAATTTTCAATCAATGTGAACTTAAAATAAAAATAAAAAGTAATTAATATACTTACTACCCATAGTACGGTTAGTATGGTACTTGATTTTCATAAAAGATATAAGATATGTAATAATTAAACAACTTAATTATGTATATCTTAATGTCTCCAATAATCCATTTTTAAAAAAAAACATGTAGGACCAAAATTTAAAAGCTCCTCCGAGAAAATCATTAACCCATAAAAAAGTATTCACGTAATAGAATAAATTACCTATCGTCTCTATTCTACGCAGAACAGTGACGTCACAATTACGTAACGTATGCAACAAAAGGTCATTAATACTGCATCTCCAAGTGAAAACATAAGCCTTACAAAGGTCTAGGTAAAAACTTATTCTGTGTAACTATCAATGGAGTATTGAAAGTTCGTGTGAATATTTATAGAAGAACCTTCTTTTGTTATATGGGAGATGGCTCGACATATCTGGTGTATAATGATTGCGCAAAGAAAAATTGTATCTTTATTTGTGTTTTGTAATTAGTAGTTGTGTTTGTTATTTGGTACTTGTGTATTTGTTTTTGTTTCGACTAGTATGGATGGATATGTCGAAGGAATCTAACTGTGAATAGCAATTATTGAAGCTTCTATGTTGAAGGACTTAATGCTTTAGCCAATAACAATTAACTTAATTTAATTATTTTTTAGTTGAATTTTTTTTATGGCATAAGCCGGTAAACGAGCAGACGGATCACCTGATGGTAAGCAATCGGCGTCGCCCATTGACACCTGGAACATCAGAGGCGTTATAAGTACGTTACCGGCCTTTTGGGGATTAAGAGTTTGAGGATCGTTGGGGATGCAGGAATTGGGGAGATTGGGGAAGGGGAGGTTAATTGGGCCTCCGGTAACCTCACTCTCACGACGAAACACAACGCAAGCATTGCTTCACGTCGGTTTTCTGTGAGGCCGTGGTATCACTCCGGTCGAGCCGGCCCATCCGTGCTGAAGCATGACTCTCGCACACTAAACGAATTTCATTTTTTGTTAAGCCAGAGTAAATTTTTTCTACATCTTTTACTTAATGTTTTATATTTTTTCGTTTTTTAAGTTATTTACGTACCTTTCAATAATTATATACAATTTTCTTGAGTGCACTGAAAATAGATTTCGAATTATCAAAAACAAGTTGTACATTTTTATCCTAAATATTTTTTTTTACAAAACATTTCCAGTTGGTGCTCGTAGTCCTGACGGTTGTCGCTTGCGCACAGAGTCGCATGTTCTACAATCTGCGACCAGTTCGAGTGGTTCATTCAGATCTCCAGCCAGCCGCGTCCATCGTGCATGCTGAGCCAAAACACTTCGAGCACCATATCTCAGAAGATGAACACGTTGATTATTATGTAAGTACCTCAATGTAAATATTAGATGCTCTACTGAACATTACGGAAAATGGAAACTTTTGACCTGCATGGTTGACGCAGTTGTAGTTAAATTCTTTGTGGTCCTAAATTCATTGTTATTCTGGTTCTGGCTGCGATGTGTAGGTATATGAATTTGTACCTATATTTCGTCTGAACCGAATAACTCAACAAATTATATTTCTATACCTTTGTCTAGCATTATTTAATAGGTAAGATTCATTCATTAAAGCATGTTTACGTGGAAATAATGTAAATGTACAACGCAACATAATAACTCTATACTGATACAGACTTTGACGCCGGTCACCGGTGACCCCCATGGCGTTTAACGTATTACGTGGAAATAATGTACAGTGCAACATAATAACACTACACTGATAATGCTAACCAACCTATAACAAAAAGTGTAATTATTCACATTCCATTGACCATGTGAGGGAGTAATGTAAGAGACTGTAATTCAGTATTACGTTATACGTTACAAAATCGCATGTAACAATATTATTACGGATAAATGTAACAGTTTAAGTTATAATAACGTTGTCTTAAAAATCTCAACATTAATTTAAGGATGTTATAAATATTAATTACCTATTATTTAATATTAAGTAATCGATGTTATTAATACCTCTATAATACTAATATGGGCTTTGCGGACAAAATTATATAATTATTACATAATATTAATTTAAGTACGTAAAGAGTCAGTAATTAACACCATTTAACTTGAACTGCATAATAAAACGATCACATTAGGTTATTTTTAAAATCACTTCTTTCCGAGAATATTTGGGTAAAAATTTCATTAACACCTTTTAATTATAAAACATTCGGAATATTTAATTTTAATCTTTCTCTAGCTGTTTTTACATTATTACCATAATCCATGAACGCCTGTGATACCACAGATATTACTAATCCGTTACTAACATTAAATATAATATTGGTTTAAAACATATTCATATTTAATTAAATACCAAATAACAGTTAACAAAAGTTACCTACTATACAGTTATTCAATATGTTGTTCTAACGTAATACGTTACTTGTATGAATGGTGTATGTTATGTTGTCTACTTACACCACGATTTTCAACGCTTTCTTCAACCAAACCTTGGTTATGTTCAAAAAATTAGTTCAGCACTGCCCTAGTAATTTTTTGAAATTTTTAAGATGCTCTACGTATATTTCTTCTGTATATTTATTTCTTTCTTTCTTCCTTTTTTAGTCCAAACAATAATTCTCAAATTGGTTGTACAGTTAAATTTAATGTATAGTTCAATAATCCAGCTCAATTCTGTCTAAAAACATATTGTAATTAATTGAATCAATGAAGAATCAGAAAAATAGTCACTTATCAATCAATACATAGTATAAAATAAAGTCGCTTTCGCTGTATGTCCGTATGTATGCTTAGATCTTTAAAACTACGCAACGGATTTTGATGCGGTTTTTTTTAATAGATAGAGTGATTCTTAAGGAAGGTTTGTATGTATATATATATTGCACCCGTGCGAAGCCGGGGCGGGTCGCTAGTATTACTATAAATTGAAGTGAAACTTCCTTCTGAGAACTTGTATATATATATTACGTAAATATAAATAGAAGTTACCGCTTAAATTATATTATTAATAGTTTTATTGACACGTCCTCAATAACTTTAACTGCGTGCAGTAAAAACGGTTATCTTAAAACTCGTTGTTATTGTAAACGTCATTCGCTACTTCCTAACTGATTTTCCTCCGTTAACAATAGCTTGTTTGAAAGTTAATTCTGATTATGTATTCGTAAAAAAGTCACATAATTATTTGTAGTGAGTACTGCATCTTTGAATGAATAGGAATTGTGATAAGATTGCATTTCCTGTGTGCCGTTCCGCTTGTTGGTGTACTGCGTGTGCCTACGCAAGTTGAGGGTGTGGCCCAAGTTGAAAGAATGTCGATAATTGTCGAGTAACTAGTAGTAGAGGTAGTTAATTTTATTAGGGCCGATTTTTCAATCATCAGATTATACTTAACTGTAGTATAAAATAGACATTTGATAGTTTTGAAAGACAGACAGACTGCCTCGTTGTCCGAGTGGTCGCAAGTGCGACTGCCGCTCAAGAGGTCTCGGGTTCGATTCCCGGGTCGGGAAAAGTAGGTATTACTGGGTTTTAAAAAAAATTCTCAGTAGCATGGAGTCTGGAATTGTGCCCGAATATGACAATAGGCTCACCCCCTATTACATGGGACTCATAACATAAATAGTGAAAAGTGGGTGTTACATTGTACAGTGGCATTAAGTGCCGAAATGTGCACCTCTGCCTACCCCTTCGGGGATAAAAAGGCGTGATGTTATGTTATGTTATTTGCCTATTGCTTAATTGCCTATTATCCCAAGAGATATCAAGGAACCTCGAATCAGGAATATACGACCGGAATAAGGTGGAAAAGTTTTACCCTTATTCACCTCGACCTATATCATTGTAACATTGACTAATCTTCTTTGTAAAATACGTTTAATTTTTAAAGACATTATCAAATCGCTTTCCACTTTTAATTTAAGCCTAACTTAAGTAGAATTTAAGTATAACATAAAACGTAGTTGTGCAAGCGCACGTGGTCAGTTCAAACGGTTTCACTACAACACTACACGATATTCGTATGAATGGCTTCCGACTTCACTATTAACATTATAAACACATGACATTGGCGTTACGTAATGTTATGGTTTTGTTAATTTAACCTCGTTTTTTGGGAAATTGCTTTGGCCTGCATTTGTATGTTTTGATTGTGCGTAATATTTTCTTTATTTTATGCGTAACCGGAAAGTATTAATGCGTAATTAATATCAATTTCTTTTAAGGATATTGGGCAAATGAAAGTACACTCAGTCAAATAATTTAGTAGATATGTATTTACTTGTATTAGTATTAGTTTTGGAACTATGCTAGTGACACTGTAATTGTGAATGTGCTGTTTCTGATCAGCATATAATAATATTTTTTTTTTTAATAATAAAACTATTTGATACCTACTACAAAAAATTTATTATGTTGAGTAGTGAATTTTCATCATACTTATAATGAATTTATTAATTTTTCAGGCGTATCCGAAGTATGTCTTCAAATATGGCGTGAATGACTTCCACAGTGGTGACATCAAGACCCACCATGAAAGCCGGGATGGTGATGTTGTTAAAGGTAATTTTATTAGCATTTATTTTCCTAAAGTACCTTTCCACTGACCAGTAAGATACTACAGACTTATCAAGAAAATCTCAGTAAAGATTTATCCAAGATGGACAGGATACTGTTAAAACTTCCATAGGGTATATATAAACGTAAACCTTAGGCCTTAGAAAGATTCACGGCGCAATTTTGTCTCGGCCCGCAGCATTTGTAGAATACAGATATGTATGTAAAAATTAAATTAATTTTTACGGCGCGTTTTACGATCGCGGCGGTTGCGATTGTTTGCGGTTTTCGCTGCGGGATCGCAGAAAACTACGGTCTCGTGAGTTTTGAAAATACCGCCTCCATTCCACCACCCTGGCGGGCGCGAGAGAAGATCGCGCCATGAGCCTTATAGTTTTCGAGCAATGCAAGGAAGGCAACTTGTTATATATACAATTTTTTCGCATACATAAGCTCACGTTTTTGTCACATGAGGTTAGGTTACAAAGCGCCACCTACACACTCCAACTTAGATACTTCATTAGCTTCCATTATTATTAAGTATTTCAAAGCCATGCCATTTGGTTTTACAAGCACGCTGGTTGAGGATGTCCCGTTTGTCATTTTTTAAAATCATTACATTATCCGATATCCATGTAGGAACTTGTTATTTTAGCATTATCTTTTTAGTTACATATCTAAATCTCAACTATTGATGGACAATGTGTATCCCTCGTTTAATGCGGACACGATAGTAACGAAGATATACAACATAATATTAGGCCTTACCTTACCGCAACCGACTTTCTTTGCAGGTCAATACACGGTGGTTGAACCCGATGGTTCCATTCGCACAGTGGACTACACCGCTGACAAACACAACGGGTTCAATGCCGTAGTACACAAGACTGCGCCCATCTCACCCCATGAAGCCGCCCATCTTCACCATTAAGTTATAAGAGATGTTAAACCAACTGGACTACCAATTGAAACTTTCTGGAATCCAAAATGTTTGGACTATGCTGAGCGAAATTCATCTATTGGTCAACGAAAATAAGGACGAGATTTGAAATTCCTAAATGAGATCAATAACGAACAGTGTACGAGAGTTTATAAGCTCTTACTTCTTTAAGATCTTTATTGACCTTGAGAGTATGACGTCACAAAATCTCTTTAATTTTGGGCATAGCGAAAGTGTTTCCTTTGTAATCCACGTTGGTATCATCAAAATTTTTGATACAAAATTGGGCGTGTTCATCAGAGGCCAATTTTCGATGTTTTTCTTGCTATATTAGTTTAAGTTTTTATTTAATAATGAAATTGTTATATGAAAGGATGAAGTCAAAATGCTCGATCTCTTTTTAATTGAATGCTGAACCTTTCATTAATTTATTGTAATCGTTAAATGTTTCTATGAAAAGTACCTGAATTTGTCATAGGTTATTGTTGTAGTGTATTCGTTATGTAATATTATGTTTATATGTGGTTATTATGTGGAGACATTGTTCAATAAATCGACTTATGTCTGACCGATTGTTGTTATTTGACTATAATGTTATTATGTATATATTTATTCGTACCTGCAATAAAGATCACAAGTGGTAGCCAGATAAAAGATGTCTACTGCTAAACTAGTCTCTCCTTTGTGATAGAGGAGGTAACCTGGAAATTGACAGACGGTGTGTGGATGCAGCTTTCAGTGGGGTCGCATTTCGTATTATTAGGATATTAGATACACATTTATTTTGACAATACGGTTAGAGTGGTGTCTGAGCAACCGTCTGCCACGCAATATGTCGTGGGTTCGATTCCCGGACGGAGTAACTCTTTGTGTGACCCACAAATTGTTGTGTGTCTGGGTGTCATGTGAACGTAAACTCGTATGGAACGGACCCACGACACAGGAGAAAATCCTAGTGTAGGTAACGTTTTTTTTTAAAAAAAGAAAAAAAACTTACAACTTGTACAATTGGTTCAGTGAATACGAATACTATAACAGTCTGTTTGTACAACATCCAATACTGTATTATGCTACAAAACTATTAGATAAAATGCAGTGCAATTTTGTTTCCCAAGAAAACGAACTATTTTGAATCCCGCAACGAACTTAATAACAAGACGTTGCTAAGTGAGTAACAACAGAAACAGTTTCCATTTAATTCAATATTTTTTTTAAATTATAATTTTTTTAAATCATGTCATTATTTTGGAGAAACATTCCGATCAAAATCATCAGGAAGCTTATTATGCATTGATAAACCAAAAAACTCTAAAACAATACATAAACGTATTTTTCGATGATTAATGAGTTAATTATTGAATACCAACCAACATACTCTATAATTAGAGACCTTAAATTGAATAATTAGTTTCAATTCAAAATTGTAATAAATACCGCTGTGTGAGAAAATGATGAAGGACATTATACAATGCTATGATATATATGTATGTGGAATATGGTAGGAATAAATCGTTTGTTAGATGCATAGTGTGTGTGAATAGGAACAATGGGGTATCAAGACGTTCGTGATAACAATAGCGTAGTTCTGTCCCCATAGATTTTTAGCGCACCATAAAAGTTGTACTTGTATAGATATTTTATCTATTCGCAGTAGGTAATGACATTGAGAGTGTTATGTTCTAATAAATTAGCTTCATTGCTTAGTTCCGATGTTGTAGTTCTTGGAAAAGGTTATCAGGTTATATACGAATTGTGCATGTTTAGGAATAGAGAGGAAAATGAAGACTCATATGATTACAACCATGGAAACTCCATAACTATTTTTATTAGACTTTTACTTATTCTCTAAAGGTAAATCCATATACATAGACAATGTTTTCCTAAAAATAGTACCTAGCTATACCTTCAGTTCAATTTTATTTAGATTTTTACTATTTTTAAATAACGACATGTCTATGAACTGGAATCATTAAAGTTAATTTTGCCTTCAGTAAAACAAAACGCACCCATAAATCTTTTGTGCGATTACTTAATTATTACGCGATTTGTGCTTAAATCCTTGTCGAAATTCAGGTGTACGTAATTACTTCATTAGCCCTTTGTTGTTCGCCACTTGAGAACACGACACAAACGCACATTATGCTAATCCGCCATTTTGTTATCTCGAGGAGAATCAAACGTTCAATGGCTCATCTATTAGCAGCGACGTTTTGTTTAATACATTATTTTTATTTTAGTTCTAGGATGGTAATTTACGTGTTTAATTAATGCTATAAACATTGGTAGCTTGCAAATTTGTTGATTGTATTTTAAAGTAAAAAGGAATAAAATGCCGATATCACAAAGTATGTGTTTGTAATAATAGCTTCTAATTTTACTGACTGATCTGTACCTCGATAGTTGCTACTATATCTTATTCATAAATATAAGTGCTTTTAACTCGTCAAGTACCGGTTTTGTAGACACAATTATAGAACAATAGGTTGCGGTCACCGGTGACCGCTTGGTGTTTGACAGTTTAATCTTATATACAAAGCTAGATAAAACTAGTAACAGTATTTCGAAAACCCATCTATCTACTTAGCTAAACTCAAAAGCAACAAGAATGCATTTTGCCACATAAAAAGAGCGTGAAAGTCGTATAGGCTCTTAAACAGGGGTGTCCAAACTTCTTTGTACAGTTTCATTGATAAAGCAGCGAATCAAATGTGAAGGTTTGAATTTGATGAGAGGACTCTCCTATTGTTCAAGGAAGGAAACGTCAACCTTTGGAGAGCCAGAAGTGAACGTCCGATTACCAACAACGACAAAAATTGGTCATAGTCTGGCAGTCTTTGTTTGGGTTGAAACGATTTGTTACGGCGAACACAAGAAGTGTATACAATAGTAGGAAAATATTTGCACTATGTTAGGAACAATGATGCATTACAATCTTAGCTATTTTATACAATGAAATTTTGTATGTTTACTTTGTTGCTCAATGACGCAAAACTACTGAATGAATTTGGATGGAATCTGGCTTTTGGATCATGACCTGAATTAATGTAAAGTAGTATTAGTATCTGTAGGAGCTTAAAAAAAATGTAACGAAGATAATTTGGGAGACAATGACGAGATTTCATAGTTTGTGAAGTTTACTTAGCTCTGGTACACCATATCATCACAGAACACTAAGAAACAACACCAGAATTTCAATAGTTCCCATAAATTTTCCTCTTAAGGCAAAACAAGCAATAAAAATAAATTCTAGAGACGCAAGTATCAAATTTGTTCACACGAGATCAGTAACTAAGATTTAGTTACTGGATTAATTGTCCATGGTGTATACAGCTTTTAATCGGCTTTGTACGTGCTAACAACCGGTAATGAACATTATGACATAGTCGTTTCCCACAGGTATAAACGCCCTATAGGTACGTACTACAAAGTTTACGACACTGGTCGAACTCGAGTGGTAGTAAGAACGGCTATGCGAGTGCATAAATTTTGTTGATAATCCTTGAGCTGCCAAAATATTATTAGTTCTGTCAAATTATAAATTCGTAGACCACTACCATTAAACTTGACTATGGAACTGAGTTTTTACATTGGGTGAATTGGGCTCCATTTAATAGTAGAGCAGATTACAATCCAGTTTCTCATTAATGGATTTGATTTAATCATAAATAGGTAAATTAGAACTTTAAAAACTGTCTCAAATATTTCGATACTTTGTCCAATTCCGTAGTCATAATAAAATTGTCCATAAAACAGTAAAATCGATTTACAAAAACATACTTAAATCTCTAAATAAGTACTTCACCATCTTCAGGACCACTCAGTTACATAACCACTCCATTAAATGACCTGTCATTTGTGTAAGTACAACTCGACTCGACATGAGCAGAGTACACTACACTTGCCTAATTTTGTAATCAAGAGTCTGTGTTCGAAGAATTTTGAAAACGAAAAACCCATTACCTTTGAACCTGGGGCCCATATTATCTTTTAACATCAACATCAAAAGAATATATGTGACAGTCCACTGCTAGATAACAAACTTCTTCTAGAGTTATTGTTAGTCTTTCTTAGAGAAGGTTTGCTATAATTCAAACAATCAGAAATCTCAGTTTAAAAGGTTCAGTTCACATTTTTATGGAATAGGAGGCAAACGAGTAGACGGATCACCTGATGGTAAGCGATCAGCGCCGTCCATGGACACCCGCAACACCAGAGGAATGTGGTTGCCGGTCTTTTAAAAAGGAATACGCTGTTTTCTTGAAGTTTTGAAGGTGGTATTGGTTCGAATACCACGGACCACAAATCATTCCAGTTTAGCTGTGCAAAGTAAGTTCCGGGAAAAGCGCACAGTTGTGGCCTGCCAACCACCTATACGATAGGGATGAAAATGCTGTCATGTGAGACGATGGCAAAAAGAACACTGGTAGCCGGTCTTAGTCAAATGTTCCTTATTCGTATTTTACGACTTTCGCAGGAAGAGTTGCAGTGAATAGTGACAAATGTAGTAGGACAATGTTTACTACCATCAGACTAATGATGTTAGCCATAACGTAACTTATAAAGCCTTGCAAGTCAATGTAACTACTTCCACATTATTTTGTGTCCCTATTTGGATTAGTACGTGGGTTTTGTTTTGTAAGTACTTACCTTTCGTACTGAGTTGTGAGTGGAATCGTAGTAGATCTAATTTAGAGGTTGTCTTAAAAAAGAAAAGAAAACGAATCTTTGAGAAATTCACGTCCCTTATTCCTAGCGTGCTACATAATGGGGATTTACTTTTGTGTAATTTAAACTATTTTATCAATTATGTTCAAAAAGGTATTTTTGGGCTTAATGTAATCTTAAACTTATCCTTTTGTGACAAGTACGTACTTTCACAAATAAAAAAATATGTTTAATTTACACGAGACGTAGAAAACCAATATATTACCAAACCCAATAAAAAAGTACATAAACAAACCACTAATTAATCGTCATCTGGATCAGTGTAGCAATCTAATCAACATGCGACCTATTGTGGCGTGCGAACATTTTCTCAATTAGCCGAGACGTAAAGGAAACTTCATTTTCGGAAGGCTTTTGGTACACTGAGGAGTTACCAAGGCTGGCTCTCGAATAAGGCCAGATATAAATGCTTGTAGACCTACCAGCCAAGTATTCAAGGAGTAGACAGTGCACAAGACGGTTGTATTCATCCCAGTGTGTGTTTCGTTCAGTGTTAAGCAATATGTGTCGTTGTCTGTGTTTGTTTTTGGCTGTAAGTGTTGGTCTGGCGCTCGCTAAGCCCAGACTCCCGTTGCCAGGTCAAGTTTATCAGTTACCTGGATATGAATATTACGTAAGAATTTTGTTTTGTTTTCTTAATTATGTTAAGGCTGATGTTTAGTGAAATAACTGATATGTATATATTGAAATTAATTACTTTGTTAATATTTATAAATTACAATTGGTTTGTATTAAGGGTAATTTTCTAATATTTCAGCAGACGCCAAAATACGCCTTTAATTATGGTGTAGCAGACCATTCAACTGGTGACGTGAAGTCACAGCATGAGAGCAGGGATGGTGATGTGGTCAAAGGTGAGATTTTATGCTTTTTCTTATAAATTAATTTGGTCTGACGAACTTTGTGCAGGTGTTGAATATTGTTTTATAATCATGTACTTTTCCGTAATTAGGTAGCTATGCAAACATCGGAAAATAAGATCTTTATAAAAATTATTTGACCATGAAAATCATGTCCTTGTAATATGACAAGGGCACGGACACAAGTCAGTGAAGAAATTCAATTTATTTATAATAAAAAAAACTTCGGAAAATATCACATACAATTTTTATGGCTATAGTTAATATCTACAAACAAGATCATGAAATTTAGTCATAATTTTCTTAACATTCAAATGATTTGGTTACTCAAATTTTACCGTATAGGTAAATGACATATTATTTATTTGTCGCTTATAAGATACAATTTATTGAAACAATCTCCACAATATCAATCATTGACGGAGAAGCTAGACCGTGAAAGCGTAACATATAAACTGTTACTTTCCCACTTACATAGCAAGGAACTGTATAAAAATAATATTATTATTAAACGGAAGATGGAATCACGATTGTTTCTACTAAATAATTTTAATAAGGAAATTAATTCGCTATTTTGAGCTAATATTACTATGCAGAATCTACTAGGCTTTGTACAAGGTTGCAAGATATAAACACTAAAACATGTGCGCATTTGTAATTTAAATTTAATTAAAAAAATATTCATTTGCCTAAATTAAGACTAATATTTTGATTTTATCACTAATTTGTAAAATGTGAATAAATGAAATATTAAAAAAAAAACAAATAATTATATAATATGAGCGCCAACAGTCTTCTGATGACCGTGGCGGATAGAACTTGATCTTATGAAAACATTCTATCTATATTTTATAACGTATCAATATTAATGCATTTATAAATTATTCTGTATACAGGTGACATAATTGTTGCATTAGTTCACATAACTGAATACCCTTGTACAGATGTCATAAAAATCTGCATTAAACACTTCCAAATATGTATTAAATAATAGTTTAAAAATTAAATAAACAATAGTATAATAAAATGACCCCGGAAGATACGTTAAATCACTGTGTCCGTTATCAAAAGACTTATTAATATTCATAACACTGCCACATAATAATTTGATTGTCTCACTGTGATCTCATTGGCCTAATGGTAATTTTGTTCCTTAAAAGTAACTCTTGCTCTTGCATACTTTTCTATAAAGTTAGAGATGAGTTTATTTAAAATCCTATAACATTATTTACTCGTAGGTCTAGGTAGAGGTGGGTGTATAATATTAAAATAATATTACGCTTTTGATTAGTTAATTCATAAAAAATTGTCCCAAAAACTTATAGCACAAACTGGACTCAACTAAAGCATTGTACGGCTACTGAAAAACTGAATATAGGGCAAAAATCTGAGATCCTTGCTCGGCAATTGTACTTGTGATCACTCGACTAACGAAACATAAGGAAAAAATATTTTACATTTAAAAAAATTTCACTGTCCTCAACTTCGCGTGGAATTGTGATTCACAGCTCCTCCCTCGTAGTTGATAGCATGATAATATATAGCCTATATGTTGACCCCATCCAAGCAGCACTTTTTGAGTTCATTCCGGACATACATACAGACAAACAGACAAAAACTCTAAAAACCATATTTTCGGTATCGACTGAAGATCACGCCCATAGTATTAAAAAGTATTCGATGTATAGTTTTCACTTTCCTACGATTTTATTATATGTATAGACTAGCGGACCCGACAGACGTTGTCCTACATATGACGACTGCAGCGCTATCTGACGGGCTGATTTGTGAATCTAAATCATCCAGGGTGCCACTCAAACGCATACAGAAAAATTCATTTAAATCGGTGAACCCGTTTAGAAGGAGTTCAATGACATACACACGTACAGCAGAATTATGTATATAAAAATATAGATAAATAGATATACTTTCGATGTTTTTATGAATCAAATGCACGGTAATATAGAGGTAGATTCATCTGAGACAGTGAAATAGGCTTACTTCTAGCAGTTCACCGTGCAGTAACCAACACAGATACCAGATAAATCTCCATAAGTCATTGTTCTCAAATCCACACCGTTAACGATACATTGACACATACTCACAATCATGTGTACATAAGAACGGGTGAAAAACTAAATTTTCTCAAGCGATTTCCAAATTCGCATCTTTGTTCAAAGGTCTTTGACCTAAGATATGGGATTTATTATACTGTGATAGTTATAATTATAGTGTAACTTACACTTTCGTTAATGAGTGAACTTGAATGGAGATTGTGAGTTTATTGGCATGTGAACTCTATGATATTATGTGATTTATTTAAGCTATTGAGTCATCAGTTTTTTGTTCTCATTATTATTGCAGTTAATTATTATTATTATACAATAAGCTCAGCCCCTTTACATATTATAAGTCTCATAAAGATAATGAGTCATACTCATGTGAGAAGTAGGTATTAACAACATGTTTATTAACTTTTCTTTTCCAGGACAATACTCTCTAGTAGAACCTGATGGTTCTATACGCACAGTGGACTATACAGCGGATCCCGTCCACGGGTTCAACGCAGTAGTATCAAAGACGGGGCCGAACTTGCACGCTGCGCCCGCACCACCTCCACAACAGAAGATCCAGCCAGTGTATTACGCTAAACCTATACCAGTGCCTGTGGAAGTTCCTGAGTACTACCCCCAGTCGATTTACCCTTCAGCTTCGCCGTTCTGTAAGTATAACAGGAACATTATTTTGATCTTTTATTCTCGGTTTTATATATATGCATATTTTATTGAATTTATCTATTATTTTATCTGAACGGTTTTACCAGATTTCTTTTATGTTATTTTACCTATATCAGTATTAAATTTACATTTAAAGTATCTTTAACCAAGGAGCATGCGTGAAAAGACTTATGACTGTTTATGGAAGGAATAAGGTATGTAAGAATACTAGCCATTGGCGTTCCATAGCCTCTGCCTACCCCCACGGTAGACAGGCGTAAGGTTGTGTATATGTGTGAGTGTGTAGTGTTACATTTTTTTTACATACCGTATTGGGAAATTTTTCATAGTATAAATTCACCCCTCTTCTGTCCATTCACATCTCGATCCCTATTTACCCCATTTTACCGTATTAAGAAGAGCTCTATAGCTAAGGTATTGTTTACTATTACAAAATAACTACAACTTGACTTCTATGATAACGATAACTTTGTGTCACATTACGACCTTCAAATTTGTTATTGGTCAGAAGCAATTTGGGGAGACTGCGTAGTTCAGCCCTACAGCACCTTATTATTGGAACTGTACCCATACATTAGTCTAAACGGTACTTCCTTAGTCCTTATAATACATCAACAAGAACGAGGACCTTGATATCAAATCACACTTCGCACGTTTCAATTGTAATTAGCAAGACCATATACAATATTCAAATGCTATCATTAATGGTTTTTCAATGGGTCATTGTCATCGATAGAGATCGCAGATCACATTAATTTTATTCAGTGACATAACTATACTTGTTAACATATCAAATAAAAAAATATCTATTGTTAACCTACACTAATCTGTCTAATTTTTTCATTGAAAATTCAATTTTGTGTCAGAACGATAAAGTTGAAAATCGAATAAAAGAATTTTGCTAAAAGGAATACGTTGAATTGCTGTTCTAAGTACAGGATACGTGTAAACGCACGCAGTACTATTGTGTCTAATTAGTGCCAGTCTCTGATTAGTAATCGCATTGTACGGCACGCTATTGTTGGATAAAAATATAAAAAAGAGGTTTTGTTTGTTACCTACGCTTAATAATCGTAGTAGTTTGTGGTTTGTAGTCTTACCTACGACTAATATTGTGTCAACTTAATTTTTATTGGTAGTGGAAACTCTAGGTAGGGAAGAATCTCAATAGTACCAACAAAGTTATTTGGAAATGTTCTCAGGAGATTTTATTAGATTTTAAATCTGTGGTATTTTACTTAGTTGGAAATAGATTAATAGACTACTTTTCAATTAACCTCCTATCTGGAATCACTTTGGGAATGATCTCAAAAACATTGAACTTATCTATGAAAGTAATCACAATAGACCCACATAATTAGGGTTTTCGGAGTTTATTTACCTTTTTTTTTGAGTGGATCGAACACTTATAGAAAGACAAAATGTTTATAGAGACATCTGGATTTTAGACAATCGGTTTGTTAGTATTCTTTATCTATTTATTTAACTTTGTCATTTTTCTGTTTCAGTATACCCGAAGGTCGGCGATCCCCAATTTGACTACGGCGGCTTCGAGTTCGATGCCCCTTACCAACCCCATAATATGATTATTTAGACTAAAGAAACTAATTATTTAGAAAAATAATTTAGTGTTAAGAATAGTGCCACGGATTTATTTGTGAAATTAGATTATTATATTTATGGCCAGTATTTATAAATTGAATTTAAGGATATTCCACCATTTTAGGTTAGAGGTTGATTGTTTTAATGGGCAAAATCGGCATAAATTGAAAATTAATTTTGGAATAGGAAAATCTAATTTTAAACAAAGTAAACAATATCTGGGGAAGCCATAAAATTATAACATAAC